ATATAGATTAAGTCATATCGAGATGTGTTGTTCCACCTCTATATAGGGATTAGCAAGCATATTCTCCATAATACCCAAAGGAATTTCATAGTAAATATTTTCATTAGGTTCAGTAGGTTGAGGAGCACCTCTTACCACTTCCGGTCGAGGACCCCGAACAAGCCCCTCAAAGGATTATCTTCCATAATGACAAGTGAAGATAAAATTCAGCACATAAAAAAATGTTTCCATACCAAATTGCACTTACCAAAAGCGCTTCACTCCCCGGCAATGGCACCAAAAAAGAGTCTTGATGACCCACAAGTATAGGGTATCAATCGTAGTCCTTTTGATAAGTAAGAGTGTCGAACCCAACGAGGAGCAGAAGCAAATGACAAGTGGTTTTCAGCAAGATTTTATCTGCAAGTGCTGTAGGTAGTAGTAACAGTTAGTTTTGTAGCAGGGTAATTCATAACAAGTAACAAGTAAGAATAGTAACAAGAGTCCGGCAAGGTGTTCCAATCCTTTTTGTAGCAAAGTACAAGCCGAAATTACTTCTTATAATGAGCAAAGCATTCTCGAGGACACATGGGAATATTGTCTAGTTAACTTTCATCATGTTTTAGTTTATTCGTGTACACTACTTTGATAATTTGATATGTGGGTGGACTGGTGCTAGGTTGTTGTTCTTACTTGAACAAGAAACCCTCTTATGATTACCCACTCTCACAAGCATCCGCAACTACGAAAGAAGAATTAAGATAAATCTAACCATAGCATGAAATATATGGATCCAAATCAACCCCTTACGAAATAATGCATAAAGTAAGGTTTAAGCTTCTATCACTCTCGCAAACCATCATCTACTTATTACTCCCAATGCCTTCCCCTAGGCCCAAACATGGTGAAGTTTCATGTCGTCGACGTTCACACAACACCACTAGAGGAAGAACGACATACACATCATCAAAATATTGAACGAATACCAACTTCACATGATTACTTATAACAAGACTTCTCTCATGTCCTCAAGAACAAACGAAACTACTCACGAATAATATTCATGTTCAAGATCAGAGGAGTATAGTATATGATTAAGGATCTGAACATATAATCTTCAACCAAATAAACATCAACTATAAGACGTAATCAGCACTATTAGTGAGCCACAGGTACCAATCTGAGGTTTTGAGACAAAGATTGAATACAAGAGATGAACTAGGGTTTGAGATGAGTTCATGATGGTGAAGATGTTGAAGATCAGTCCTCCCACGATGAGAGGAACTTTAGTGATGTCGATGGCTTGGATTTCCCTCTCCCGGAGGGAAGTATCCCCGGCGGAATCGCTTCGCTGGAGAGGAAAAGTGCTACTGCCCAGTTCCACCTCGAGATGGCGACACTTTGTCCCGAAAAAGTTCTTTTGATTTTTTGTAGGGAAAATGACACCATATAGGAGAAGGAGGGCCACAGAGGACTGCTAGTGGGCCCACAAGCTCACGGGCGCGCCTAGTATTTTTATTAATTCCAAAAATAAATCCCCGTAAATTTTCAGATCATTTGGAGCTGCGGAGAATAGCTATCTTTGTTGTAGCTCTTTTCAGGTCTAGAATTCCAACTGCTCACGATTTCCCTCTTCATATAAATCTTGCATGGTAAGAGAGAAAAAGGCATTAGAATTGCATTATGAAGTGAAATATTAACTCAAAACATTGTAAATAACAGTAGAAAATCATGATGCAAAATAGCGAAGAGAGACATGATGATAGCGGAGAGGGTTGAGAAAGAGGGGGTTTTGCCGCGGAAACAGTGCGACCAACTCCAAATGTTTGTGCTCCATCTCAGTTTTGGGTGGGCTGGGAGTGTTTGAGTCCTATGTGGCGGTTGGACTACCGCAAAGCCCATTGGTTTGCTTCCAGATTGTGGGAAAATAGACACCCGAACTAGTCCGCGGACAAATGCGGGACACCGTTGGATGTCTTGCGGCATCCGAACAACTCAGTCCGAACGTTCCCGAGGTTTGGGGGTAGGTGTTGGAGATGCCCTTATACTCTGCTATTTGTGTTTAAGGCTATAAATGCACCTCATAAATTTCATCTATTTTTCTGATGCAACATTAGGTATTCATGTTATTTCTTACTAAAAAAATCAATAAGAGGTACTTACAAAAGACACCTCCTACACAAAATATGATGGTCACATATATTTCATTTGAGTTTTATGTAGTATATACCATGCAATCTTAGATTATTTCGTCGCTATAATTTACTTATTTTTTGAATGAAATAAGGGAACTAAATATGCATATCATCTTTATGCATCTGCCTTGGAATTTTCGTGAACCTATCAATATCGTTCTTTGTTCGTGCTTTGATCATGTGAGCTCTCACGTGCAAAAGAACGTACGACTTACTAGTTTTTTGGAAGGGACTACTAACCCTCCTTTTGGCTTCAAGCATTCGAACCCTGGATCCCAAATGTTTGTGTTGCTAGAGTTCTCCACTTCTCCACCAAAGTCCTAAGCATCCATCTAAGTGAAGGAGAACACATGTTTGAGTTAGATCCACGATCCAACCAAGCAAAGCCATAATCTCGTATATGCGTTTTCATTGAGCTAGGTACCTTTAGAGATTTGTGACTCCTCGAGGTTAAAGTTACTTGCGACATTCACTCTCTAGAATTGCTTCTGAAAGTTTGTGGAGGCATTGGAGATCGCTTCAAGATGATCTACTAGTGATTGAACCCTAACTTTGTCATCGAGGCTCAAGGTAGGAAGACAATGTCTTTGTGGGGACAACCCATGCCAACTAAAAAAACCTTGTTTCCACGCTTCTCCAACAACAAAGACCCAAAATCTTCAAGAGGATCCGAATTCCGGGCCTACATCCCGTACTTCAGTCACTCTGATTGATTCTAAAACTTTTTTCTTGAATATATGATTCTAGTTTTTTTAGCACAATCGACTAGGCTTTATTGGTGAATAACCATTTGGTGATACAAATCGAATAATAGGGTTGGATGAGCCAAGAGTGTCTCCCTTGATCCAATGTAGTGCTTACCTAGCTTGATTGCGAGCTTCGCAATTTGAGCTCCTAAATTCATAGATGAAATTACATGTGATAAAAGAGGATCAATAAATTTCTATCTCTCTGGTGCTTGCTTCATATCTCCCTCCGTTCTTTGTAGCAATGTCATTGACCAATTTTTAGCAATCCGGAGCGATGTGAAGGCGTTGGATGTGTAAGTCTCTAGCCAGCGCAAGATCCTCCCGACAAGCTAACGCCTCCAAAGTCGCACGGTCGGCCACTCCTAACAAGACAGGGGATGAAGCCCCTAAGTACAAACCTTGCTCATCGCAACAAAAGGTGGCGACGACTCCACTGGTCCCTATACTGTGATACAACACATCCATGTTGATTTTCACCAAACCGGAAGGGGGAAGATTCCAGAATTGGGCATTGTGTGGAAGAGGAGCCACAATCGGTCTTGGTGGTGCCAAATTCTTGGGGTCCTCTAGCTCGCAATGTAACGGATGATAGAATCATGTGTGGAGACTGGACTCAGAAGACTTTGATTCTAGTTTTTTAGCACATTTGATTCTAGTACTTTGAGTTAGGAGAAATTTTGAAGCCCATACATAATCCTTTTTTAGGGGGGTTGGGGGATGGAAAGGAGGGCGCCTCTACAACACCTTTAGTGTCGGGATCGCATGCTGGCGCTCACGGGACTGCAAAATGGACCACGATCCATTAGCTTCGCTCGCTAGCGACCGCTCGCTCCAACAACATAGTTCTGAAAAGAAAGAAAACTAAGGCTTAAGAGAAACAAAATCCAGGTTTTATAGATTAAAAAATATATTAAAAAATAATAAAAGTTATAAATTTAAAAAGATCGTGAATTTAAAAAAGTTTGATATTTGAGAAAAGTTCAAAATCCACAAATTTATTAAAAATATGGTTTAAAAATAGATTTGAAAAGTATTCATAAATTTGAAAAATGTTTGCGGATTTGAAAAGAAACATGAACTTGAAAAAACTTGTGGATTTCAAAAGTATTCACGAACTTGAAAAATCTTTGGAGATTTCACGGATTCGAAGAAAAGTTCCTAGATTTGAAAAAAGACTGCGAACTTGAAAAAAGTTCACGAAACTATTCAAAAAAAGTTCACAAATTCCTGGATAAAAAATGTTCATAGATTTGGGAAAAATAGTTTGTCAATTTGAAATAAGTTTGCAAATTTGAAAAAAAAAATCAAGCATTAAAAATGTTCAGATTTTAAAAATTGTTTGCAAATTTGAATAAAACTTCATGAATTCAAAAAAATTCATGAAAAATAAAAAAGTTTTGTCATTTAAAATAAAAGAATAAATAAACAAAAAAAAGAAGGGAAAAGAAAAGAGTAAACAAGGGAAAAATAAAATAAAATGAAACAATAAAAAGGAAAACTCAAAAATAGGAAAAATGTAAAAGAAAAGTGAATTTTTTTAAAAAATATACATAAGAAACTATTTAAACCGAACAAACTGGTGAAGCAAAAAGCAACAGAAAACCTGGGCCCAAAAAACGCTGCACCCTGTACCATTTGTCCTCAGCCGCCAAATAGAAGGATTTGACGCCGAAAGCGGCCATACAAAAGAGCAATGCTACATCTACGAAGAGTTTTTTACGTATCTTATGAATGAAATGAGTTGACAGCTTTTAATTAGACATTAGTAGAGGCTGGGGCCCACCCGGAAAAGGAAGATTACATAGGATAGGTAACAGACTTGCGTAAGTCTAGCATTTTTGCATACAAAATCAATGTCAGACGTCCAGCCCAATAAGACCCTGCACGGACCGGCGAAGAGGTAACCGGCACAGGCCCCCAAAAGCCCATATACAAGTCACAGGTACGCTCCCTCGCTCCCTCAGAAAAGAATACCGCCTCCCTAAAAAAAACTAGGAAAAACAGTCTCCTCATCGGTCAGTCGTCCTCGCCGTCGCCCTACCCATCTCGCCGGCGCCGTCGGGGGCCCGCGGGGAGCATGGATGCCATGGAGGAGGATACGCCTCCAGCGCCACCGCCACCGCCACCGCCTACAACGTCAGTGGGCGCCTCCCCTGTTTGCCCTGCTCTCATCTCCGTGTTTAGGTCACGTGGAAGCGCTCACATACCTCCCTGATCGGGGCGTCGTGTCGGTTGCAGGGGCGCGAAGCAGCCGCCGTACAAGGATCCTGACGACGGGAGGCAGCGGTTCCTACTGGAGCTGGAGTTCATCCAGTGCCTCGCCAACCCCATCTACATCAACTGTACAGTAACTCTCCTCACAGCCTCTGTTTCAAACTGGTTGGTTAGAGATTAGCTTATTGGGTACCACAGCGCAATTGAGTTTCATCATGGCCTATTTGTGGGTTGAGTCCTGCTGCGAGAGCGAGTAGCTAGCTAATCAAAGAGAATTTTTCTTGTTGATGATTGTGTTAGTCAGTGACTGGCCTCTGGAGTAACAAATTCACATGATATGATTTGGTAAGACCGCATAGTGTGATAAGGCAAGAGAGATTGAATTATGTATTGCTTATGCTTTGTTGCTTCCTGTGCTACCGATGTATTCGGGGTCAATATTTTGTGCGAGTATTAAACATGATTCTGCTTGGGAGATGGCGTTTATAGTATTTGTTTTGTTCAAGCAGATCTAGCGCAGAATCGGTACTTTGAGGATGAGGTGTTCATCGGGTATCTCAAGTACCTCAAGTATTGGCAGCGTCCGGAGTACATCAAATACATAATGTGAGTCACCTTATACTTTTGATTGCGCAAATAGTTTGCTCACAGACAAACTAATATGGTTGTACTGTTATGGTAAAGGTATCCGCACTGCCTTTTCTTTCTTGAGCTTCTCCAAAATGCAAATTTCCGAAACGCAATGGCACATCCAGCAAACAAGGTGACCTTTGTCCCCATTTGGCTAGAATTGCACTCAAGCACCATTCTCACCCTTAACTGTTTACAAGCTTCTTCTTTCTTTTCAAACCGTTTCTTTGGAATTGTCTATTTGGAGATTATTACTTTTACGGTTGATTGGTTGTGGACATAAAGGATCTTGGAAATGATAAAATGTTGCTATGAATGCGCTTACAAATATATTGAGTGGATATGTGTCGGTGGGAACGACACTTATGGGATCAACGGGATCCCTACTGTGGTCGGCAGGCGCGGGGTTGTGAGAAGAGCAGGTCTAAGAGCCAGCACAAAGGTCGTTTACCCAGGTTCGGGCCGCGTAGATCGCGTAATACCCTAGTCCTGCTTTAGTGTGTATATGAATGTTCTTGAGCTAGCTATCGAGCATGACTTGCTCAAAGAGCCAATCCCCCTCCAGTACGCCTCGGGCCTCCTTTTATAGTCGAAGGAGGCGCCAGAGTGGCACACAGGAGGTGGAAAGGGTACAGTGTACAAGCTTATCGCTTGTCATTACGGGACAAGACGCATTAAATGCGCCCCTGAGGTGTCCCCTTGCTTTAACACGTGTTCAGGCCAGCGAGGCGGGCGGCGCCATGTAGGCTGACAGGCTGCTGAGGTGGCGCGGTGGCTGCGTCTTCATGAAGATCTGCATGCCACCACGCAGGTGCTTGTTGAGTTGGCCTCGGGACCGCGCGTCGCCACGCAGGTGCTCGTCTGGCTGGCTGGGCTGGCAGCTGTATGGGAACGGCGGTGGGGTCTCGGTGCGTGCGGGCCTGGCCGCGTCTCTTGTCTTCGGCAAGGGTCTTGCCGTGGCACCGCGGTCGTCCCCGGCAAGGATGTTGCCGGAGGTCTCGTCTTCCGGTCCTCATCTGATATCGTGTGTGTTAATGATCTTCACAAAGATCTGTATGCCACCATGGAGGCGCCTCCCGACCCTTGGTTTCAATGTGGTTGATGGTGTTGGAAACCTCGGGCTCAAGGGTGGCGCGCTCCGTTGGTGTTGGGCAGGTTGCCCCAGCAAGGCTCTTGCCGGGGCTGCGGAGGCCGCCCCGGCAAGGGTCTTGCCGGGGGAGCCCACCTTGCCCTCTCGCTCTTCGCGTTTCTGTCTTGGCGTTGCTTGATCGTCTTGTGGCTTTGGCCTCCCTCCTCTGCCCTACTAAGTGTGGCCGCATGTGCGGCTCTGACGGCCCGTGCACAGGTAAAGGGGTGCGAAGTAGAGCCCCTAATTCTGTACACCGACAGGAGCCCCCAGGCCTGGGTCACACATAAGTGCAACGCGTTGTTGGGCTAGGCCCAGAACGGTGCGCGGGCAGGCGGGGCCGATCTTTACCGCGGTGACTCTTTCGTCCGCTGTGCTTCCCCATGACTCGCGTTGAATGCGTGACGTGGGGGTCGTGCGTGGGGTGACCGAAGCGTGCTTGCGTCATCCTGCGGTGAATAGTGAAGAGGCGGCTTGCGTGTCCCTTTAAGACCGCAGGGCCGCTGCTCATTTACTTTCTCCGCCTTGGAACCGTCGTTCCATGTTTCCCACTACGCCCGCCCCTTGCGCCACGTACGCCGCATGCACGGCGCGGGGCAGGTGACAGGCGCACGGGATATGGGAAGGCGCGCGCGCGTGGGTCGATACCCACGCGCCTTTGATTGGGCGAGAAGGGCGGTCGACGGCCTCGCCTGCTGCCACCTTAATGAGCTGGATTGGCTGAGAGAGGCGGCTGAGCCCTGACCCCGCCCCTTTATAAGGAGGGGAATGGGAGGGACGACACCCCTCAATCTTTCGCCATCCGCTTCCTCCCATCTTTGCTTCTTCCTCCCTTATGTTATGGCGAGAGGGCGTGCTGATGCTTCAACGGTGGCGGCGAGGGTCTCCGCTTGACAACGCGCCCCTCCTCCCCAAGAGCTCGTGGCGACAGAGCCGGCCACGAAGGGAAGGGGGAGGGGGCAAGGCCGAGGTTGCCGTGGCGCTCGGGGAAGAGGAGGACGGGGCGGCGCATCGGCTTCGCCTCTGCCAGCAGTCACTTCCCCAATGGAGGGCCACGTCGGGGACCAGCCTCGCGAATTCTTCATCAGGCTGCGCCGCGGTGCGTCATCGTCTTCGTCTCCCTACTCCATTTGCTCGGGAGATGGAGCTCGATCCGCCACAGGCTCTGAGACTGCATATGAGGGGCTGCGGGAATAGCGGCACATGGGCCGACGTTGACTTCCCAACCCCTCATGTCATGCATCTTCGTCGCGGATGGAAGACTTCCGCTCGCATCCACAGTCTGACGGCGGGGCTCGTTCTCTATTTCAAACTAATGGAAAACAGCCTCCTCTCCGTCAAGGTCTTTAGAGACTTCAGGACTCGCCTAAAGTGCTGCGTGGAGAGCTCCTCTGATGACGAAGACTCTTCCTCGAGCGAGAGTGACGAGGAGGACAGCGGCAGCGACGACGAGGGTAGCAGGCGGGAGGATGACGGGTCTGACTAGGCGTCGGACCCGCCCACCCGGGCGGTGCCGGCAGCAGCAGCATCTGCATCGGGCCCCTTCTCCCAGTGGGACCGGCTCCTTGAACTTCTCGGGATCGCCTCCTTGGGCGACTGGCTTGGGAAGGCCGGAGAAGGCGAAGAAGGCGGGTGGCGGGTCGTCAGTCGAAGTACGATGGCACCGACGCCTTCGTAGCGTATTGACGGACCGTTGCCTCATCTTCCAGCTCTTCTCCCGGCACCATCATCACCAGCCCTCCCCTAGGCGGCCGCCGACATGTTCTCTTGGCGCCTTCTGCTGCTCGTACCTCGCCTAGGCGCTCCTTCTGCCCTCTTGCCTTGTTCCGTTTCCTGAGGAGAGGGACAAGAAAGGGATTACGGGCACCTTATCTCTTTTTAGTTTGTAAGCCTACGGGCCTTAGTTAAATTTAAAACTTGTAATCCCCTTGCTCATGTTTACATTCCGTACGAACTGTACCTGTATGGGGCGTATTAATGAAAAAGGGTGCTTGTCGGGTCCTTTGTGTGTGAGCGAAACCCATACCAAGGAACGAATCCTTGTTATTTTTAACATAAACATTGTCGCCCGGCAACAGGCCTTGCCGCTCCCTTACTTTATTCGACCGCACTCACGCTCTTGGCGGAGGCGGGGGCAAAGTAGAGTTAGGCCCTACGCATGCTTCCTTGCCGCCGCGGCTACAACCAAATTCCGGACCAAGAAAAAGCTCTCGGGCAGCAGGAAGAAGGGAGCACGGCAGCCTTGGAATAAAACGAGGTTTCATACGTCCCAATTCTATACGGAAATGCATAACAGGGGATAGGAAACTTATCTGAATCTGCAGCCCCTGGCAACCTTGGCTTGCCGTGGGTGGACCCTTGTGTTCAGCCCCCGGCAACCTTGGCTTGCCGGGGCCGGGGCGCCGGCTCGTTCTCTTTCTTCCATATAGCTCAGCAGAAATGCCCATGTGCCCTGCGAACCAAAGAGGACGGAAAGGAACAGAGAGACGCAGACTCGACCTCTATGCTAGGGGTTAGTCACCGCTAAGCACTATCAACCCTAACCGAGGGAGAGACTCAATCTAGCATGCATGCTATGACTTAGGGCGCCATCGCTTCGTTTATTTATGCTCAGGGTCTGCGTCTGGCTTTGTACAGAGGGTTACATGCCTTGCCGGCAAGGCTTGTACAAAAGGTGGCTTGCCGGGGGGCCTGACAACCGCGCCTTATGGGTAAAACTTGCGAAGATGCTCGATGTTCCAGGAGTTGCTCACCGGAATGGCATCTTCGGTCTCCAGGCGGACTGCGTCGGGCCTGGTGACTCGTATTACCCAATAAGGGCCTTCCCACTTCGGCGTCAACTTGTTGGAATTCTTGGCCGATTGAACGCGTCGAAGAACAAGGTCGCCTTCCTCAAAACTTCTGGCATGAACCTTGCGGCTATGTTAGCGGCGCAAGGCTTGCTGGTAGCGTGCTGCTCTCTCAGCCGCCCGAAGACGATCTTCCTCGAGGAGCGTCACGTCATCTTGCCGCAATCGCTCTTGCTCAAGCTCATCATAAGCGAGCACTCGAGGTGACCCGTATATGAGTTCCGTGGGGAAAACTGCTTCTGCCCCGTATACCAGGGCAAAGGGCGTCTGGCCGGTGGCTCGATTTGGCGTCGTTTTGATCGACCAAAGAACCGCCGGCAACTTATCAATCCAGCGCCTTCCGCTCTTGTGCAGCCTGTCAAAAGTCTTTGTCCTCAGGCCTTGCAGTACTTCATCATTCGCCCTCTCCGCTTGGCCGTTGCTCCGTGGGTGTGCCACGGAAGCGAAACAGTGCCGAGGTCCCCAATGTATTGCATGAAGGTGTGGCTTAAGAACTGCGTGTCATTTTCGGTGATGACTTTGTTTGGCACACCAAAGCGGCAAACTAGCCCCTTGAAGAATTTGACGGCTGACTGCGCTGTCACCTTCTTCACTACTTCCACCTCCGGCCACTTTGTGAACTTGTCGATCGCAACGTACAAGTACTCAAAGCCCCTGACGGCGCGGGGGAAGGGGCCCAGTATGTCGAGCCCCCAGACCGAGAATGGCCAGGAGAGAGGGATTGTTTGAAGGGCTTGAGCTGGCTGCTGAAACTTCTTTGAATGGAACTGGCACGCTTCACACTTGGTTACTAGTGCTGTCGCATCCTGGAGGGCAGTGGGCCAGAAGAAACCTTGCCGGAAAGCCTTGCCGGCAAGGGTCCTCGACCCTATGTGGGAGCCACATATGCCTCCATGTATCTCCGCCAACAGCTCCAGTCCTTCCTCCCGGGGATGCACTTTAATTTCACTCCGTTTGGTCTTTTTTTGTATAGAACGTTGTCAACGAACTGGTACAGGGCAGATCGACGGGCTACTTTCTCCGCTTCTTCCTGCTCCTCAGGAAGCTCCCCTGTTTGGAGGAATCAGACGGTATGTTGTGCCCATGCTGGAGCCTGAGGCTCGACGGCAAGGACCAAAGGCATCTCCTCCGCCGTGGGAACGGTTGCCTCTACAGCTA